TGGCCTCTTCCCTCCAGCTCGGAGAGACGGCGTTGCAATTGTTGTACTGTTTTTCCTTTTTCAGTTCAACCCCCCCACCCCTCAGAAAGAGAAGCTCTTTGCATTCCTCCCACTTCCCCTTCCCCATTGCGATTTCCTTCCTTGGAAGGCACGTGAAAGCCAGCCATTCCTCTGAGGAAGCCTTGTCGCTGGCTTTCACAAAAATGACAACCGGGGGGAAAACTCGCCCGTTTCTCGGGTGCCACCACTACCAGCACTCATCCCTTCACTCAGCCAACACGGATGAAACCCCGCTGCCTGTCCCGGCCCCCATACACACCTGCTTCCACTGGCGGAAGGTGGAGAACTCCTGGGACGGGATAAAGACACTGAGTTTGAAGATGGACTTCAGCTCAGAGGGAAGCCCCTTGGACTCGAAGTACTGGAACTCGGTCTGAGCCTCCCCGATGACCGGTACATACAGGCACAGGCAGAGCATGCTGACAGGGAGCGCGGTGTTCAGCTGCCACCCAAGCAGCTCTGGCGGCGGAGGACGAGAATGCTGTGCTGCCGGCCGGCAAACTAGCGCAAGATATGCCGGGGCGCGGCTGTCATTGGCTGCTCCAGCCCCGCCCTTTGACTTAATTGAGAAAAAAGCCCGCCCACTCGAAGTCCTGCCAACAGCCAATCAGCGCAGAGCCCTAGATTGCACAAGAGGCGGTGTAAAGATCAGGACTGACGTCACCGCTCACCAAGTTAACTCTTCCAAGACGGGCAGAGTCCAAACAAACCTTCACCCTCAGGCTGCCGACCCCTCCAAACGGACAAACAGCCGTCAGCCTGTTCTTTCACAAGGTCCCCAAACACGTCACACAATACAGTGACTTCCCCCCGGAGTCAATCATTCCCAACAGAAAAATAAGTGGATAGAGATTAAATCAATGCTCCCTGACAACGGGCCCAGTTTGGCTGTGAGAGTAAAAGTGGGGCGTGGGGTGGTTGAGGTCCCTAGCCACCCATGACGTGGCCACACCTGGGCTACGGGGCCATCTAGGCACAGCTCTGACCTGCTCCAGGGACCTTTTCCAGGCCACTCCGCTATGTGAGCACCTCGGAGCCCACCCATCCCGTGCAGGCTTCCCCAGGGGAACCCACAGCATGAGGCGCTGTGATGGGGACAGGAAGAGGACACTCCAGACTAAAAGTTCGTTGTGCTAAGGGACTGCCCAGCAACATCAATCTGGGGTCAGCCAGGGCCTCACTAAGACCCATAAGGTAGTGTTCAGAACCCAGCTTCACTCGGAACACTTGACACGTTAGAATAATTGCAGCTTTCTATCTTAGAACCGTGCTGTTCAACATGGACGTTGTTAAACTTTAAATTAGTTGAAATGAAATGAAAAATCCAGTTTCTTGGTGGCATAGCCACAGCTCAAGTATCCCTAGCTGCATGCACTCAACTTAGCACGTCCACCATCACAGAAAGTTCTACTGGGCAACGCGGCTCTAGAATGCCCCTTGGAGGTGCTCTCGTCCCGCAAAGTCCCGCTTTTATTTTTATCTGAGGATGATCCTATTGAGGCCAGCCTGCAATCGACACCTCATCCTTCCCCACAGTGTCAGGGCTGCGTGACGCGGAGGAAGGAAGCACGTCACAACGATGAAATGAAAGCTGGTCTCGCTTGCTCCTGCTCCAATGTGCCACTTCCTAATATAGACCGAATCGCACCACCAGGGGGGATAAAAATGGAGATCAACAAAAGTAAAAGGAATTTTAATTTGCTAAAGAGCTTTTTGTGAGGACCTTGGAAAAGGGACTTTAAAATAAGATGTTGAAGCTTACATATAACATAAAACAGATTTTATTAACTTATATGACATTTCTGCCTTTCTGAGAGAGATCTGGTGAGAGTCTTGGGCTGCATCCAACGGGCTATTCAGAGGCAGCTCAGGACTATCCACATTCCCACTTAGATCCCATGACACTCAGCATGACACTCAGCTGTCCAATTCAGAATGTCCTGCTTTGAGGTTATTTTTATCTCTACTGTTGGGATCCTGGAAGGCAGGAGGCTATTGTTTCAAACGTTTGTGCCTCCTGGTGGGAAGAAGCCCTTGCCTTGACTCTGGAAGGTGCTGGATATAAGCAGTTCCTGAATGAATGAATGGGGGCTGGCAGGCCTTTAAGACCTCAATCTCACCCATCTCAACAAAATAATGTATTACTATTTTTATTTTAAAGGAGGTTCACATCTGTAATAAAAGCATAATATGCTAATTAGGGGCTGTGAGGGAAGACTGGGTCCCGGGTGCCTGCCGGAGGCCAGAGGGAAGGAAGGCCTACTCTTGCACAAATTTCGTGCCTCAGGCCTCTAGTTTATAAATAAAAGGGCTGAATTTCAAAATGCTGATGTTCCTTCGCTAATTTATTCACATTTGCTTCTGAAACAAAAATAAATTACTCAGATCTGTTGAAGTATCTCATTTCAATGATGACTGTAGTTATTCGAAAATGGCAAATACTTTGACAATAATAAGCTGTCAACTGGAGATGTTCATTTCCATGGAGTTATTCTTCTTTTTGTATCACTGAGTTTTATGATGTATTTACAAGACAAATCTGAGGACAGATTTGAAAATACCAAATAAAAGTGAAATGTGCCCTAGCCGGTTTGGCTCAGTGGACAGAGGGTTGGCCTGCAGACTGAAGGGTCCCAGGTTCGATTCTGGTCAAGGGCACATGCCCAGGTTGCGGGCTCCATCCCCAGTAAGGGGCGTGCAGGAGGTAGCTGATCAATGATTCTCTCTCATCATTGATGTTTCTATCTCTCTCTTCCTCTCTGAAATCAATTATATATATATATATATTGAAATCTATATTCAGTGTCTAAGGAAAAATTATTAAAATATTAACCAGCCCTGGCTGGTATGCTCCAGTGGTTAGTGTCAGCCCACGCACAGAAGGGTCTCCGGTTTGATTCCAGGTC